CAGAAATATAGACAGATGCCGAAGTATTTGTTATTTTAATCATTAAATTGTTTTGAAAATAGTAAGAGAATTCTGCATGTTAAATCATAAATCATTTAATTCCCCCCACCAAAAAAAATAGTGAAGATTTATTGTACTAAACTACGCACCCTATTAAAACTAGCTGTACTTTGTGTCTCCTTACCTGTTTGCACTTCCCAAAATTAGATTTCAATTGGTCAATTTATGGTTATTTTAGAGGGTGTGAGGGACAGACCAACAGAAGTCACATAATCTCTATCTATAAAAGACAGGATGTGTGTGTGTGTGACGAATGCACGGCCGCAATTTTCGACGGATTTGCACCAAAATTTGCATGCACATGCTCCAAGTTAGCGAAAAGGCCAAAACCGACTTTGCATTTCCCCCATCGATAGTGGAAATAATCGATTTTTTCATGCTTCTACGGCAGTTTTCATGTAGTTTGCGGCCATTTTCTACTGGCCAGAGTGAATGCCTATAGCTGGCTGCAACGAATAGACAGGAAGATTCTATTGGCCAGCGTGAGAGCCAACAGCTGACTGACACGAATGTTAACTAATATGCTAGCATGCAAAAAATATCAATAGCTGCATTCGTCACAAGTGGGAAAAATTTAAATCTGCATGGCACTTTACTCCAATTGGCTCATTCGCTTGCTTAAACTCAACGTTGATTCTGATTCCGCAGAACTGGGTTGGATGTGAAAAAGTATTTGTTGTTAACATTCTTTTTTCATTCGGTTTTTCCAGTTACGAGTCCTTTTTTAAAGTTGATCGTTTTGTGTTCATTTTGTTTCGTTCTTTTTTCGTAAAAGATTTAATGTTTAGTATAGAGCTTAGAAAAATTTGCAGTGTGAGATAGGCAAGAAGTAAGGCATGTAGTAACATCAGCACGGCAAAGGGCTCGGGCAACGCCGGGCCATGCTAGTTTTATATATAGATGATGAATACGACAAATGAAAGGGAATGTCGAAGACAAGGTTACATCATTTTTCAATGTTTGGATTTTACATTATTTCTACGATTTACGAATAATTGTGATATATATTTATTAATATTCACTGTAGATATTTTATCCATCATGAGTCAGTCTTTTTTATTATTCTAAGGTGGCATTTTTTAATTAAAGATTTGGCCCGGTTTGTTTCTGTGTGATACCAAGGAATTCAATAGAGGACTCTTTTTAGAACACTGCTGACAAACAAGAACTAGCTAATAATCTACTGCTCTGGACATCAAGGCATGGAGTAAGACGGACTAGTCACCCAGAAGAATGTATATTGACCAGCTATGATAGGACACAGAATACTAACCTAATGATCTTCTGACCTTGATGCCGGATCATAATGGTTGGCGTGACAGACTTATGAATGTCCGAGATAGCTCGACCTAATCTGTCCATATTTCTGAGATGAGGCATTGTAATTATTTACACTATTTACATTGTCCGTACTGTTGCCCTGATCTTCGTTGCCATATTCAAGATGTTTCGGCTGTTTTACATTCCGGACTTCTTCAGGATTTGCTTATATTTCTGAGATGAGGTATTGTAACTATTTACACTATTTACATTGTTCGGACTGTTGCCCTGATCTTCGTTGCCATATTCAAGATGTTTCGGCTGTTTTACATTCCGGACTTCTTCAGGATTTGCTTATATTTCTGAGATGAGGTATTGTAACTATTTATACTATTTACATTGTTCACACTGTTGTCCCCATCTTTATTGCCATATTCCCGACGTTGTACGCTCCGGCCTTCTTCAGGCAATATACGTTGGAATTTCTTTATGGAGAGAAAGGGAAAATTACCGTTCTTTATGGGATGAAGTTGAAACAATAGACAGAGAAGATCACTGGAAAATATGAAAACTCAGGGAATCAGCGCATATGCTAGGCCATAAATAGATATGAATACAATATGCGAACCTAAAAACAACAATAACAAGAATTGTAATATGAGCTTTGGTAAAAAAAATAGTTACTGAGATATTAAATTTATATATCCCAAAGATTCATACATGGCCTAGTGGGATAAAAGTATTGAAGTAATCCACTGAGTTGACCCAAAGAGTTGTGTGTTCAGTATCTGGCTACAGCAGTGGTGGTGAGTTACTAAAGGGAAATAACTGAAACTGAGATATCCAAAAAGGCATGGCATGTGGAACTAGAATAATCTACTCCCGTTCGGTTAAAAGGTCCGGTTCAAAATTCCAACGTAGGTAACCTGAAAAAAGTCGGAGCGTACAATGGCCGAAACTTCGTGAATACGACATTAAAGATGAAGGCGACAGTTCCAAAAATGTAAATAGTGTAAATAGTTACAATACCTTATCTCAGAAATGTAGACAGATTTTTTAGCTTCATTAAGGCATTTTAAGATATTATCTTGATACGTTATTGGGTATATATTATTCATTTCTGGGCCATTGACGAACATTTATTTATATTGTAACATGGGGCAAAACTTCAACGAAATATTTTCTGTTTTTCCCAGTCACCCCATTATTAGAGTTCACCGTTAATTATGTTTTATTATCAAAACTGTTTCGACATGAAAGCATTTGTTCCTGAGCATGGCCATCTGTTCGAGCTCATTTGACTTTTCTTCAGCAACCACAGTGTTAAAAGTTAAACTGTAGTTTATACTGAAATTATGTGTTTATCAACTTACCCCAGGTCTGATTGGGGGCCCCGTGCAATACTTTGCGACTCTCGATGTCTTACCAACATCTGCTTTTTTCTACATACATTTATATACGTTACAAATAAACGTAAGCACAACTGACTATTAAAGGATTTAAACAATGTATCAGGTCATCCCATAAGTTCTGTTCGAATTTTAACTTTTTGTTAAAATGAACGAAATTTAAAGAGTATTTTATAATGCCTAATGGAGCTGAACATTATTTTTATGTTTAGATGCATTTAAACTGATCGAATTTTATTTCAGATAACAATAAAATTAAATTTTGTTTGATTAAAATCCTGCTAACCTGGAAGTACCCAAGAATTATTTGAGGCACATAATGCTTTATGAGTTCAAGAAAGGAAACTCAGCAGCCGAAGCGGCTAGAAACATTCACTCAGTTTATGGAGAGGAATGTGTGAATGAAAGAACTTGCAGAAGATGGTTTGCAAAATTCAGAGGTGGAGATTTCACCCTTGAAGATGCAGATCGAACCGGACGTCCAGTTAAGTTTGATGAAAAGCTTCTTGAAGCAGCATTTGAAGAAAATCCTGCTTTATCAGTTGAGGAATTGGAAGTGGTTCTCAGTTCAAACCATACAACTGTTCATCGTCATCTTCAACAACTTGGAAAAGTTCCTAAACTTGGAAAATGGGTGCCTCATGAGTTGTCTGAAAACAACCTCAAATCCCGAGTTGACATCTGCTCTTTTCTCCATTCTCGCCAACTTGTTTCACCTTTTGTGGATAGACTTGTGACTGGCGACGAAAAATGGATCTTTTATCGAAATGTTAAGCGTCGTAGACAGTGGTTTGGTAAAGGGGAAGGACCCCAGCCACAGCCGAGAAGGGAACTTCATGGGCAAAAGGTTCTTCTTTCAATCTGATGGGATCGCCAAGGAATAATCCATTTTGAATTCTTACCACCTAATGCAACAATTAATGCTCAAATATACTGTCAGCAATTAGAGCGTTTGAACCAAGCTTTGAGGAAAAAAAGACCTGCTCTAGTGAATTGAAAAGAGGTGATGTTTCATCAGGACAATGCACGACCTCACACAGCAAGAATCACGTCACAAAAGATCGAAGAACTTGGTTGAGAGAAAATTCCTCATCCACCTTATTCTCCCGATCTTGTTCCTTCGGACTACCATTCGTTTCGTAGCTTACAGAATCATTTGGAAGAAACAGCTTTTGTAACACAGGAAGAGGTTAAAACTGACATTTGTGAGTTCTTCGAATCAAAGCCAATTTTTTTTTTACAGTAATGGAATTAGTAAGCTTGTTAATAGATGGAAGGAAGTCATAGATAATCAGGGAAAATACATTGTTGATTGAATCTGTAATTAAATGTAACATTTGGTTACTTGTTTTCTTTATTCAAAATTCGGACGGAACTTATGGGATGACCTAATAATTAGTGCAAATAAATAATAATTGTATATTTCTTAGTCGTGTATCAATTTTATTGGTAGTTTTTTTAACGTTTAATAGGGACCATGGTAGTATAGTGAACAAATTCGATGTCGTGTGTTCATAACTTGCGGGTGAAACATTATTTTGTCCTCCTGCCAGACATAACGAAGCTTAGTGAATAAACTTAACAAAGTTACTCGTACTAATCATACTGTTACAGTATTATCTTTAGTTATCATTGATAAATTTAGTAATTTGGTTAGGAAGAGCTTAATTTTTCTTTCTTCACGAACAGCGTAGTTCAAACTGATTTAAGTAAAAAAATATAGAAGAAAAAGACAACAAAACGATATGGTGGACCAGCGCCAGGCAAAATGGCTGCTTATCCAATTGAGAACAAAGCAAACGGGAAACCAGAAAATGAGAGAAAACTAGCATTTAGTAAAAAAAAAAAAATGATAAAATAAATGTTAGCTGCACAATGGAAAGAATCTGGAATTAAAATAAAAAATAAAAAAATTGAAAAGAAGGAATCAATAGAAGAGAAAATTGCTCGTTGTTATCATTTAGGCCCCATTTAAAAGAAAGAAGAGTGGGTGTAGCTATTGTCCGGTAAAGCAGTTGGGTGTTGTACCACGCCTCATGCATTTGTAAAAGACTAAGCAACTCTTACAGCATAGATTCCATGGGAAGGGTCGTCTATATGAGGAAGATTCAGTATTAACTTGTAAATTAATTCATTTGATATCTCCATCATGATCTGTCTATATATCGATAGCGACTCCTTCTGTGTCAATAAGTACAGAGCGGGATAAGTAAACCAATATTAATGAAAATTGAGTACTGGGTGAGCTATACTTGTGTACCTGACTACAAGTACAATTGTTCATTATCTATCATCTATCTATCTATCTATCTATCTATCTATCTATCTATCTATCTATCTATCTATGTCAGTCTCTTAATCAGTCTGTTCATATCTATCTATCTCAGATTTTCTATCTATGCCAGTCTCTTAATGAGTCTATTCATATCTATCTATCTATCTATCTATCTATCTACCTATCTATCTATCTATCTATCTATCTATCTATCTATGTCAGTCTCTTAATCAGTCTGTTCATATCTATCTATCTCAGATTTTCTATCTATCGATGCCAGTCTCTTAATGAGTCTATTCATATCTATCTATCTATCTATCTATCTATCTATCTATCTATCTATCTATCTATCTATGTCAGTCTCTTAATCAGTCTGTTCATATCTATCTATTTCAGATTTTCTATCTATCTATGCCAGTCTCTTAATGAGTCTATTCATATCTATCTATCTATCTATCTATCTATCTATCTATCTATCTATCTATCTTTTTTTGTTATTTTTTCCTCTTTTTAGATATGTTCATTATATCGAGTAAGTATTATTATTTTTGGGTTGACTAACGTTGAAAGAAAAATGAATATTATAACTGAGAAAAACTCTTCCTCCTACTCCTCCTCCTCCTCCTCCTCCTCCTACTACTACTACTATCTATCTATCTATCTATCAATGTCAGTCTGTTAATGAGTCTAGTAATATCAATCTGTCTGTCTATCTATCTTTTTGTCATATTTCCTCTTTTTAGATATAAGTGCATTATATCGATTAAGTATATTTATAAGTATACTTTATTTTTGGGTCGACTAAAGTTGACAGAAAACCGAGAAAAAACTCCTCCTCCTACTACTACTACTACTATCTATCTATCTATCTATCTATCTATCTATCTATCTATCTATCTATCTATCTATCTATCTATCTCAGCTTATCGACTTTTCCCTCTAACCCACAGCTCTTTTCTTTCTTTCTGATTCTGATTTCACTGTTTTAGTTCTGGTTTTTCTTTTTCTCAGTGAACATCTATCTATCTATCTATCTATCTCACACCAGTCTACCTTATACTGTTACCTTCTTTCTGTTACCCTCTTTCTCCCTCAGCTTTGTTTTTCTTTCTTTCTATTGATGTCTGATCATTTATATAAAAAAAAATATTTATTCCATCACCTCAGTTCCACAAATTCAGTTAAAACCTGATTTATTGTGATGCCAGATACCAACATCTCTTGTGAAATCATTCAGTACTGAATTAACACAAGGAAGCTGATGCCGAACAAAACGAATTCTTTCTTTCTTTTTTTTTTCTTTCTTTATTTCCTTCTATATAAATTCAATCTTTCCTTATCCAACTCTAATTTCCTTATTTTCTTTTTTTCTATATACTTTAGTTTATTTTCCTCTTTCTTTGTTTTTATAGAAATCATATCTTTGTTTACTCCGACTAATATTCTTTCCTTCTTTCCTTCTTTCTTTCTTTCTTTCTTTCTTTCTTTCTTTCTTTCTTTCTTTCTTTCTTTCTTTACCTTGCTTCTTTCTTTCTTTACCTTGCTTCTTTCTTTCTTTCTTTCTTTCTTTCTTTCTTTCTTTCTTTCTTTCTTTCTTTCTTTCTTTACCTTGCTTCCTTGCTTCTTTCTTTCTTTACCTTGCTTCTTTCTTTCTTTACATTGCTTCTTTCTTTCTTTCTTTCTATCTTTCTTTCTTTCTTTCTTTACCTTGCTTCTTTCTTTCTTTCTTTACCTTGCCTCTTTCTTTCTTTGTGTATAAACTCTTTTTTATCCAACTGTAATTATATTTCTTTCTAGATCTTTTGGATTATTTTTCTCTTTATTTTTATATAAAAAAAACCCACCTTCCTTTAATCCCCACTAGTGTTTTCTTTCTTTCTTTCTTTCTTTCTTTCTTTCTTTCTTTCTTTCTTTCTTTCTTTCCATATAAACTCGATCTTTCTTTGTCCAACTGTTCTCTCTTTCTATATCTTTTGGTTTATTTTTCTCTTATTTTGTTTTTATATAAACCCCCACCTTTTTTTACTCCCTCACTAATTTTCTTTTTTTCTTTCTTTCTTCACTTTTCCTTTTTCTTGATTCCTTCTTTCTTTTGTCGGTCACTGATATCGTGAGCACAAAAAGGAAACATTAGAATGGCTAATTGGAGATATTATCTCTGCGGAGCGGCAAAGAAGAATGAAGCCGAAAGTTTTCATTGTCACAGAATAGTTGAACGGACGCACTACTGAATTGAAACGAGAGGAAGATTTTCCATCAAAAATATTTCCTTAATTTTGTATGTTTCCGAAGCCATTCAACAATAATCATTTGCATTGGCACCCCGATTATTATTATTATTATTATTATTATTGTCATTCGTATTCAAGGATACCCGTCTACTAGGGCGACTAGCTAATCCCTATTGCAGACGCTTGCTTAGGCGCACATTTTTTGTTTGTTCAATAGCCACATGTGGTTTATCTTGCAACTATTCTGAGCAGATCTTAAAGTTTC